ATTCCAGACGTAGGCTCTTCAATGCCCTGTACAAATGTAGCAAAACATCCCTCATTTTATATTCCATTCCCCTCAGTAGACAACAATATTTGCCCTCCTAATCACTTAAAGCCGAGTACTGACTTTATTTTGCTTCGTGATTAAAGGAACAGGATAGTGCTTGTACTTCAGTTCTGTAATTTCTCTTCAATTTAATATTCTACTTTTCCTGCCAAAGTGGACAATTCACATTTTCCCCACATTATTTTGGAGCTGCAAGGAGCTTTGGTGAGCCCACAGTTGGAACACTGTTTTGCAGTTCTGGTCACCACACTGTAGGATGGATGTGATTGGGCAGCACGGTGGCACAGTGGTTAGCAATGCTGCCTCACAGCGCCAGGGACCCAGGTTCGATTCCAGCCTCGGGTGACTGTCTGTGTGGAGTTTGCACATTCTTCCTGTGTCTGCAGGTTAGGTGGATTGGCCATGCTAAATTGCCCGTAGTGTTCAGGGATGAGTAGATTAGGTGGGTTAAAAAGGGATGGGTCTGGGTGGGATGCTCTGAGGTTCAGTGTGGACTTGTTGGGCTGAAGGGCCTGTTTCCACACTGTAGGGATTCTAGGATTCTATGGATTCTATTCTGATTGTAGTGGAGGGAGTGCGGAGGAGATTTACCAGGATGTTGCCTGAATGGAGAATCTCGGCAACGTAGAGAGGCCAGATAATCTCAGGTTGTTTACTTTGGAGCCCTGAAAGTTGAGGAAAGGGACCTGATAGAGATGTACAAGATTATGAAAAGCATAGATAGGGAGGATAGAAGCAGTTGTTCCCCAAGTTGAAGGGTCAACAACAAGATGTAATTTTAAAGTGAAGGGCAGGAGGTTTAGAGGGGATTTGAAGAAAAAAACATCCTCAACCAGAGGATGAGGTGGTTCTGGAATGCACTGCCTGGGGAGGGTAGTTGAGGCAGGAAATCTCCTCCACCTTTTTTAAAAAGTACTCAGATGAGCACTTAATGTCATAACATGCAAAGCCAAAGGCCAAACTGGGGAAAGTGGAGTTGATGGTTTATCTTTGGTACAGATTCGAAGGGCTGAAAAGCCTCTTCTGTGTTGTATGACTCTATGTTCCATCTGCCAAATTTTTGCTCTTTCATTAACATATATCCCTTTTGTAGATTCCCTTGTCCTCTGCACAACTTTCCTACCTATTACAAAAAAAAATTGCTGGGAAAGCTCAACAGGTCTGGCAGCATCTATGAAGAAAAAAAAAATTAGCTTTTTTTTTTCTTCACAGCTGCTGCTAGACCTGCTGAACTTTTCCAGCAACTTTGTTTTTGTTCCTGATTCACAGCACCCACAATTCTTTTGGTTTTCATTTCCTACCTATTATTTTGCCATCAAGCTTTGTGACCATATATTCAGTCCATTCATTTCAAGTCACTGATGTAATTTGTCAATAGTTGAGGCCCCAACCCTGGTCCTTAGCACACAATTTGTCACACCTTGCCAATGTGCACACAACCCATTCATACCTTGTTTCCTAGTGTCTAACAAATTCTCTACCTACACTCTTGTTACTCCTTACACCATAAGCACTGTTTACAAGCTGAAAATCAAAGTACAATTCATTCACTAGTTTCCCTTCTACCATTGCTAGTTACTTCCTCCAAGAGTGCTAACAATTAGTCAAACATGATTTCCCTTTCTCAAAACTATGTTGACTCTGTCTGATTGCCTCTTTAGTAATAGATTCTAGCAATTTTCCTTTGTTAGGCTAGTTGTCTTGTAACTTACTGCTCTCTGTCTCCTGATTTTCTTCAATAGAGGAGTTATGTTTGTTATTTTCCAATCAGCTTGGACCTCTTCCAGGATTCCATCAATTCTGGAAAATTAAAACCAGGATCTTCTCTCTCACCACTGCATTTAAAATTCTAGGATGAAGTCCTTCAGGATGTTGGGACTTTTGGCTTTGTCCTCCTCTTTTCTCTGTGGCTTCCCTGGTGATTTATAATTGTGAAAGTTTCTCCCTTTCAACATTTGTAAATCAATTATTTCTGGAACAAGTTTTTAGATGCAAAATTCCTGTTGATTCACTGCCATTTTATTTTCCATTATAAATTCCCAGGCAGTCTATCTAAAGGACCAACAATCACTTGACTTACTGTTTCCTTTGTTCTTCCTTTGTAGAAACTCCTCTGTTTTTACATTTCTACCTCGTTTTCTTTTTATCCTAACAGTTGTCTCCTTATTAAACCATCAGTCACAATTTTCCGTGTCCAATCAGAGCTCTGTCGCCTTTTGTAGAATTATTCCTTTTTTATTTCAATTTTATTCAATCTTTTGTCTTTCTTAGCCATAACTGCATTCATCCCTTAGTGTCTTTCCTTCAGACTGAAATATATCTTTCCTGTGTATTTGGAAATATCTCCCTAAACGTCTGCCACTGCATCTCTCTGCTGTGCTTTCCCTTAGCAGAATTTCCCTGTTTAATTCAGTCAACTCTGTCTTTATGGCCTCATCATTCACCTTTTATTCAAGTTGAAAACACTAATCTTAGATCCATTCTCAATCATTATGATCATAAGCACCGAGGGATATCTTCATTGAAGTCAGTAGTCTTTTGTCATTCACAGTACCAGATATTATTTAGCCTGCTCTGTCCCACTAAGAAACTGTCCTGAAAATAATATGGACTCATGACCTGGACCACTTTCCAATCTTAGTGATAGAATCCATATGTATATTAAAATCGTACACGATTATCACAATTCCTTTCTCACAGGCCCCATGATTTTCTTGTATATACTTTGTCCTACACATGGTTGCATCAGAAAGCCATAAACCACTCCCATGTGATTTATCACACCTCTTTCTTGCCTCTACCAAACCTTATTCCATCAAAGTAGTTTTGAATTGAATGAGCTTTATTGTCACACGTATGCACGAGTACAGTGACAAGCTTACAGTTTCTGCATTACAGCACCATCTTAGGTACAAATGTACCTGGGTACAGATACTCCATTAAATTCTGAGGAAACAGAAAAGTTAGGTGAAGAAAAACAGTCCAGCATTATAGGTCCTAGGAATAAATTATAAAAATAAACAAGTTTAAAAAGTTCAGAATATCAGTCTTTCTGATTTCCACCAATGCCAGCAGCTGGCCTTAAGGGAGACCACCATCACCTCACCACTGTCTGCATTGGACCCACCAACGTAGGAGTTGCCCCACTTTAGGTGCCATCCATTTGCTGCTGGGCCAAGGTTGCTGATGGCACTGAGCCCACACTAGCCCCACAGCCAAGTGTCTCTGGCTCTGCTGCCAGGCCATCAGCCCCACTACGGCTGTAGATGTCACATTGCTGCTGCCACCGGCCCCGAATACCAGGAGAATGACTTCACTGCCACCAGACCCGAAGGGTGGGAGAGCGTCCTTCCTGCTGCTGGTACCACCAGCAGCCTCTATCACTGGGAGAAGACACGTATGACACTCTGCATGTGACCTGCTCACACTGGGCACTGGTGCTGCCAACCAACACGCCACACAAGAAGAAAAAGAAAGGAAAATAAAGCACAAAAAGAGCAGAGGCAAAAACAAAGCAAAGAAGGAGAGCAGATGGGCTCTGGGCAAGAGCATGCGCACAGCCCTGTTACTCCGCTGCCATCTTGTGCCTCTCGGACAAAGGTCATCTCATCCATTGTATAAATGCCGTCCTTCATTTTTCCTGGTTTCCGATCATTCATGAGTGTCATGTACCCTCGAATGTTTACACCTCAGTCTTTGTAATCATGAAACATCTCCAATGGATATCCAATCGTACTCACTTCTATTTGTGCTGTAAATTAATCAATTTCATCAGAAGTGCTACATGCTTCAGATACATAGCCTTTAGTTGTCTTTTAAATATTTTTGTCACCTCTAGCCTTATCTTTGCACAACAAGTCCCTTCTTGTCAAGTACTATTCATCCTTTATCTTTATGCTACCCTGCTTTGCCTTCTGTTTACTTTGTCACATTATCCCAAATTTGATCTTTTGACCTAAGATTTAGTTGAAAGCCCTGTTCGCTGCCCTGGTTATACTACTTGCTACAGCACTGGCCCCAGCATAATTGAAGTGAAGACTCTCTATTAGGAACAGCTCCCACTTTGCTAAGATCTGGTGCTAATGACTCAAGAGTTGAAACCCATTTCTCCAGCATTGATCTTCGAGTCATGTGTTTTTTTTCCCATAAATCCTTTTATCCTATGCAATTTGCTTGCAGTTCAGGTAGTAATGCAGGGATAAATATCTTTGAGCATCATTTTAGTTTGACCCCTAGCTGCAGATTTGAACCAAGGCTGTAATGAGGTAGGAGCTGAGTGGCCCTGGCCAAACCCATACTGGGCATCACTGAGCAGGTTATTGCTGAGCAGGTGCTGTTTAATAGCACTGTTGATGACACCTTCCATCACTTAACTGATGGTCAAGAGTAGACTGGGGTGGTAATTGGCCAGGTTGGGTCCATCCTTTTTGCATACAGGACATGGGCAATTTTCCACGTCATTGGGTAGATGTGGCAATGCTCCAAAAACACTTTTAGAAAGTCAAGGAAACCAATGTGCAAGGTAAGCGTGTGCAGGGTTAGGTGGTTGGGGTGGGCTAGTAGGTCATGTGGGTTGAGACCAAAGTGAGAAAAGGAGGAAAGGGAGTTGGTCAGTTGTCTGTGGTGTTAGCATGTGTTGGGAGGAGTGGTTTGAGGTGTTATTTTTATAGTTAGCCAGGAGTTGAAGTGGCTTTTCATTCCTCTATCTTTGTTAGGATAACTGTGAAGGTAAGCGAATCTGAACCACCTCAAAGTTTCTGACTCAAGCTCAGAATTGATGACTCTTTCTCAGTATCCGAGACACCAGGTATTTGCCCATTGAAAGTTGAAATGTCCTGACCAATTACTGTGTAGTCATTAGGTCGGTACTTTGAAGAGATTATGCCCATACCACAAGACCTATAACTGTATGGAAAAGGCCCTTTTCTATCTAGGTGCTGCAAGTGTGACCTCAGATTTACCTGCATCCCACAGAAAAGAGTTATTTAAAATGGTTCAGGAGCCCATTTGTTCAATGTGTAAACCAAGTGCTGTAAATGGAGTATTTGTTGAGTCAAAGGCCGCTGTTAACAAGGTCTCATTTGGTTTTTCTATTTCGACTTGTTTCCTCAGCCATCAAAACAGCCCTCTGTAGTAAAGAATTTCACATTCACTGCCCTCAGAAATTCCGCCGCCTCAGTCTTGCATATGCAAGACTATGTTCTAGGATGATGCCCTCTGGTCCTAGATTCTCCCACAAGAGGAAATAATCTTTCTGCATCCACCCTAAAAGCTTGTATGTTTCAATAAGGTCATGTCTCGTTACTCCACTCGAAGTAGAGGCCCAAGTTACTCAACCTCTCCTTGTAAGGCAGTCTCTCCATATCTGTTATCAGCCTAGTGAGACTTCTCTGGCCTCCAATCGCAATGGTCTTGTGGGCAAAACCACAGCTAGACTTTGGACCTTGTATACGATGAACTATATATAGTGCAACTTCTCGCAATGAAACCTTTTCAACATTCGAACCTTGAATCTGTTTTCTTTTTAAATGAGATTAAATGATCCAACCTGTTCTGGTGAAGTATCTATTGAATGTATAACTTAATTCTAGTTTGGTAGTTGAGATGATTCCATTATTCTGGAAGCATCTGACTTCTTTCAAAGAACTGAGATTTAGCACTGGATTTTCACAGATACCCCAATTATGAACCTTTTGAAATGGAGGTGTCAAGGGCTAATTTCTGTGATGGATACTTTGGGGTCAGACTGCTTTTATAGGGCTGTACTAAAAATCTTAAAGCATAAAGCTGAGATTTTGAAAGTTTTTATCATGTATATTGTTGCAATGGGGTCAATAGGCTCTCTATAGTGTGTAGATATTTTCTAATCTGGGTTGTGACAATATGTGCCTTTAAGAGGGGTTTGTTTGTTTTGATCCTCTTGAGTGTTGTAAACCTGATACTGAGGTGTCTGCTCTATGCAAAGCAGACTAAGTGGCTTTGGGTTAGACAAAAGCATGAGTGGGTGGAGTCAGACTGATAGACCCAGGGTTTTAGTTTTTCTTTGTGTTGAGGTTGGGCCTTTTGGAGTTGAAGCTGCTAGATAGAGCTTTCTCTCTCTGCTGTTAAGCTTCAGTTCTCTCTCTGCTGCTAGATTCATCCTGTCTCTTGGACAGGAAGAGATAGCAAATGAGGAAAATCTGCTTGGCTGAATTTGCCTTTGCCAAGTGTGTGTATATGGGATGCTGCTACATTGGAACAGTTGATGAGTAATAGCTAAATAATAATATTTCAAGTATTCTGATAGTGTTAACATTATGCCAACTTTTTGTTTGCATTTTAAATGTGGTGTAAGAATAAAGTGTGTTTTGCTTAAAGCCTAGTAGTTTGATCAATCAAATCACATTTGGACGCAGTGCTTTACACTTGCCTTTTTTCAAAAAAAAAGTTAGCCTAGGCCCTATCTCCTTGATGCATTCTGAGGGGATTAGATCTGGTCCACTACAGTCTATACAGCAATGTTTTTATGCACCAACTTGGACTTGATCATGGACCTCAATTTCAGAGGTAGGGTCACTAACTGTACCACAAGAGCCCTTAACTGTGTAGTGTGGATACTGGGAGAATGGGCATGGATGTTGAGAGTAATGGGGGTGGGGCACAGCTTGGCAGGAGAGGAACTGGAGGGGCTGGGTAAACTGGCGTCAGTTGGCATGGGGTATATGTGAGGTTTGTGATGGATAAGAGCTACAAAATGTTTTTTTGGTTTGGTTTTATTGTATCTCTGACCATGGCCTAGGGCACTGCTCACCCTGGTACCCAGCAACTCTTGTGGCCGCCATCTTTCTGTGGGAGATGGGTCTGGTTCCAGCACACACCAACCCCTCCAGGAACCCAACCTGAAGGAGAACTCCCCCTTCCCAGGCACACTCTCCCGAGGTAGCCAAGCTGGGAAATATCCTAACTTCCACTACCCACCTCAATGGAAATGTTTGTAGTTTGCAGGAAGGATTGATGGGATATTCTTGCAAGTCTCAAATATTTGATTCAGTGTTCTCTATTGTTAGCCCTGTCGTAGGTATCTCCCAAAGAATGGGTGAAAGTAGGGAACAGATGTTAGTGATAAACATGTACCACAAATCATTGTGTGGACATTTTCCAGATGTCAATCCACTTCCATGTAAGCACCTTCCTATTAACTGCAAGCCATTGGTTGTGACCACAGTGGACGCTGGAGTCCAGGCTGAACGCTGTCGATGTGGATGGAAAAAGGCACAACTGTGGCACTCCAAGTAAGTATTGTTCTCAAACTAACGGCACACTTTGTAGTGTAACATCAAATAATATACTTAATTGGAATGTCCTTTCTGGCATTCAGATTCTACACCACAAAGGTTTGGTTGATCAAAACTCAAGTGTCAAAGAATCATCTTGAGTTTTTTTTAATTACAAACTGAAAGAAATGTGGATGCTGTAAATTAGGAACAAAAACAGAAGTTGTTAGAAAATCTCAGCAGATCTGGCAGCATCTGTGAAGAAAAAAAGTTAATGTTTTGGGTCTGGTGACCCTTCCCAGTTCTGAGTTAACTCTGATTTTTTTCTTCACAGGTGCTGCCAGATCTGCTGAGCTTTTCTAGCAACTTCTGTTTTTGTTCTTGAGTTTTTAATTGTTTTGTTAATCATGGTGTTACTGTAAATGAAATATTAGCCAAGGAAGTTGTAACTTTTTGGAGCTTTGTCATCTTTTATTCACAAATATATTCTAATTGCAGTCCTCCTGATACTCACTCCTATGTTTTTCATAAACTGGTGAGAAATAGCTGGCCCTTACTCAATCAGGAATAACTGGCTGCATTCAAATTGACTGTGTTCCTTTGGACTGCAGAGCTTCCTTGTACAAACAAAAGTTTGTGAAATGTAAGGACCAGCTGAATCATAGTGACCAGTTGTTCATGTAGGGATTCTGTCTCATAGATCATAATGTAGAAACAGGCCCTTTGGCCCAACAAGTCCATACCGAACTTCAGAGCATCCCACCCAGACCCATCCCCCTGTAACCCACCTAATATACACATTCCTGAACACTATATGGGCAATTTAGCATGGCCAATCCACCTAGCCTGCACATCTTTGGACTGTGGGAGGAAACCGGAGCACCTGGAGGAAACCCACACAGACACGGGGAGAATGTGCAAATTCCACATAGACAGTCGGCCGAGGGTGGAATCAAACCCCAGGTCCTGGTGCTGTGAGGCAGCAGTGCTAACCACAGAGCCACCGTGCCGTTTGTTAATCCAAACCAATCTTAAATGATATACAGGTAGGCATCTGCACAGGTCTCCCTCCCACTGTCTGTGTGTTGGTATCTCGGAGCATGTCCTGTTGAAAGTGGACCAAGGGAAAGTGTTGGATTCTACTGGAATGTTGTTTAAATTCAATGAATCCTTTTGGGAAGAAAGTGCTGCCTTAAGGGTACATAGGGTACCTCCTGAGATTTTCTTAGCAATACATTTTGGGGAGGAGACAGAATAATTTGTGCTCAAACTGATCACTTCATAAGGGCTTTGAGTTGTCATCTCTTCCTTTCTGTTGAAGTTTATGATATTCAGCTAAACATCACCTTGCAGTTAGCTCAGCCCATGCTTGTAGATTCAGGACATCTTTGGCACTTGTGTAGCAGAACATGGATTAACACATCAATAATTAGGGTCAATATGATTGATTACTTCAGACCTTTACGTTAAAATAAAACACCTTGACATGTGGTAAGCTTATCCAAGCAAGCTGACTAATACATTGTTACTAAACTGAAGGCAAGGTTTCCATAAATCTCCTATATCTTCTGTTGACTAAGTTGGTGATAATAATATAAGACAACAGGAAGATACAGGACTAGATAAGGTCTCAGATTATACTTGATTGTTATTGTTTGAAAAAGTGCTGGCAGTTATGCATTGAAAGTTGCCAAGTATCTCCAGTTTTATAATTCATATCGATGCCACACATGGGTCAATGGTTTTATGGTGACCTGTGTAAGATGAAGAAGCAACTTGTTATGAAATCAAACCATAACTGGAATACTGCAAGTAGTTTTGGGTCCCATTATCTAAGAAAGATATACTGGCATTGGAGGCAGTCCAGAGAAGGTTCACTAGGCTGATCCTGGGGATGGAGGGTTTGTTTTATGAGGAGATGGTGAGTAGGTTTTGCCTGTACTCGTTTGGAATTTAGAATAAGGACAGCTGGAACTTGAAAGCAGACCTTCTGGCTCAGAGGGAGGGGCAGTGTCACCACATCATAGACCTCTTTGTGTCAAGATCTGTGATAGGAAGTAGTGACCACAATATGATTGAAACTTACATTCAGTTTGAAGAAGGATGGAGTGGGTCCAAGCATATTTAAAAAAAATACAAATAAGGGCAGTTATGAAAGCTTGGAAGTAGAGCAGGTTAAAGTGAATTGACAAATTAGGTTAAAGGACATGTCAGTAGAGGTTTAATGGCAGACATTAAGGAGATATTTTAGAATACACAAAACAGATATTCCAAAAAATAAAAATTGTAAGTTGATGAACATGAATTTTCTTTAAAGACAGGCCAGTTTCTACTTCTAGAAGACGATCACGTTCTTTGTCCTATTTTGGTTTCCTGGCTTAATTTCCACATGAAGTTCTGGTGAGAATTTCATTCACATGCTTCCCATTCTCTGAATTTAATTTTCTTTTCCCTAGAGGAAACATTGTGTCTGTGAGGGCAATGTGAAATTGAATAGATTTACCTCTGCGATACAATTGATGTCACTGACAAGTGGCTAACCATTTAATTATGTGTAGATGGAAAGTCAAGATTGAGAGCAAAGAAGCTGAAAGCTTGGTTGACCAGCATCTGAGTGTTCACAGTTGTTGAGCTGAGGGAGAAAACTGTGAACCCAATAAAATGAGGTAAGCTTTAAACATAAAATTAATTTTGGATCAGAATGATGGAAAGGGAATAATAGGGATAACATCTACTGTTTTGTGAGAAGTGAATGAATAAATCTCAACAGTTCAGAAGATTTGAGGTTCTTTTGTGGGGGGGAGAAAACAAGTTTGAGGAACACATGGGTGGAATGGAGCTGGATGGAAGTTGAATTAATGTGTATCGTAGGACCTGCTTATATGCCAGGAACTCTTTGAAGTGATGGGGAAGAATGGCAATTGAAAGACTTAGAATCATAGAATCCCTATAGTGCAGATAGAGCCCATTCAGCCCATCAAGCCTGCACTAACCCTTTGTGGAGCATCCCACCCAGATCCACCCCATCCCCATAACCCTGCATTTCCCTGTGACCAATCCACCTAACCTAAACATCTTTGGACTGATGGAGGAAACTGGAGCGCTCTGAAGAAACCGACACAGATGTGAGGAGGATATGCAATCTCCACACCGACAGTCGCCAGAGGGTTTGATTCCAAGTGGGTCCCTGGTGCTGTGAAGCAGCAGTGCCAACCACTGAGCCACCGTGCTGCCCCCTGACTTCTGGAAATATTTATGGAGAAGGGATCAAGTCTGAATAATTAAGGTGACAAGGTCAACTGAGAGCTGAAGTTATGCCAAAATTGCATGACTGGTTTGGGAAATGTGCCACGAAAATTATCTTGGAAATAAATAACAGGATAGTTTTACATAACTGGAGCAGAGAGCCTTGCCTTTGGGGAGGTGATGGCCTGGTGGTATTTATCGCTGGATTATTAATCCAGAAACTAAGCAAATGTTCCGGGTACTAGGGTTCAAATCCCATCACAGAAAATGGTGGAATTTGAATTCAAGTTTTAAAAAATCTGGGATAAAGGGTCTAAAGACAGCCATGAATGCATTGTCAATTGTCAAAAAATCCATCTGGTTCACTAATGTCCTTTTTTAGGGAAGGAAACCTGTCACCCTTGCGTGGTCTGGCTTACATGTGACTCTAGACCCACAGCAATTTGGTTGACTCTTAACTGCTCTTTGGGTAATTTGGGATGGGCAATATCTGCTAGTTTAGCCAGAGATGCCTACATCCTGAGTGAATTTTTTTTTTAAAAAAAAAGGTCCATGAGGACAAGTTGAGTAGATTTGAGCCTGTGCTCATTGGACTATATAAAATGAGAGGAGACCTTCTTGAAACATATAAGATTCTTAGAGGACTTGGCAGAATGGATGTGGAAAGGTTGCACCCCCTTGGCACCAAAGAATGGTGACTCTGTTCCAGCAGGGGCAGTGCAGCAAAGGGACTGGAGGCTATCTGACTGCTTCGTGCTGGTGTTGGTCTCAGCATCAGGGTGGAAGAGCCTGGATCCAGGCCCACGGATAACAGGAAGGACTGTGAAGTTGATCTCAACTTTATTTCCTTATTTTCTGTCTCTTGCATTCTATATCTTGGTTTATTTTCTGTGTTTTAAGATGGTGCTGGGGAGTGATGACTTAACTCAACACTTTTCACCATATTTGCAACAAGTGCATCTGACAAGTACACGGCAATGAATAAATGAGGGCAACATAACAGAAGGGGGCTGCATGTTTAAGTCCAAGATGAGGAATTTCTTTGGATTGTGAATCTCAGGAATTCTTTACCACAGATTGAAGTTGGGTTGCTAAGTATGTTAAAGACTGAGATTTCTAATTAGTCAGGGAACTGCAGTTGTGGGGAAAAGGCAGGAAAGTGGAGTTGAAGATGATCAGATATGCCATGATGTCATTAAATAGCAAGGCAAACTTGATGGGCTGAATGGCCTACTTCTGCTCTCATGTCTTAGCCTGCATTGATGACCAGTGTGTTACAATCTGAATCTGGTCAAGGTAGATTTATTCTAGAATAGGATGTGAAGCAGTTGTGACTATAGAGTTAAACTTCTGAGCTTAAGGTTAAAAGGGAAGACAGTAAGATGAACTGTAGTTATAACTGACCTACCTTTTTTTTTACATGGAAATACATATGAAATTCTTTCAGAGATGGAGTAAAGGAGTGACAGGGATGATTAAAGGTTTGACCAGAGGCACGGATTCTCCAAAGGCTGGAAGCTGTGCCGATGTGAAATTTAGAACATTTTAGAGTTTAGTGATTCCAATAGGCCCTAGGTAAATGATGACAGTCACGAATGTGAGGGAAGCAGAAGAAGCCTGTGTTAAAGTGAATGAACTGTAACACTTCAGTTTCTTTCTCTCTGGCACTTATATTATGCACATTTTATTCCTGCTGCTTGTAGACACACTACAAGTTATGGGCCTGTAGGTCATGTCCTGTCAAAGTGGTTATGAGTGACAGCAGTTTAAGACATGCCTCCAATTTCAAACAAATGTTTAGAAACGTCCATGCTCCATTCTACCCAATCAAAACAGCTCAATGTTCACACCACAATTGTTTATAAATTCTCCCCCACCCTCTTTGGTCTATCTTTAGTATACATTGGTAAACTAGCCTAGTTGGCAATATCTTTGAGTCTGTAGTCATTTGAAGACTTACTTGAACTGTGTAACAAAGTGTAATGTCAGCTTTATAGCCTCTCAGTTCCCACATGCCATCCACTGGTACACACCAAAGCTTTTGTTTTCTTTCCTGTGTGTGTATTGTTGTCAGAGACCTGATAAGCCATTGTTTTGTTCTCCACAGAGTTACTGATGCTGTAAACCTGGAATCAACCAACTGATATGTCTCCATTTAATGAAGATTGACTGGGATGTCATTCCGATCAATGAGGGATTTATCTTTGAACCTGTGCCTTGAACTTGCTAAGCAAGCTACTAGTCTCACCAAAGCTAATCAGAATATAAAATGGATGCCGCCTTCTTGCACAAAGTAACATTTTTATAATTAATGAAGCCCTTCCTTATAACAGAACTTTCACCAGAAGAGTTTCTGCTTTTATTTAAAGTCTGAGTTCTTTGGACGCTTGTGTTCTTACCATGGGAGGATATGAAACTTGAGAGAAATTAGTTTGCTTTCGGTCAATGGATGATGTGGAAATTGTTTTAAGAAATATAAATGGAAGAAGAATTTTGAATAAGAAGGTGTTTACAACATCTAATTCCGTTTAATATTTTCAACAATGAGCTGCGTTAAGTTTGAACATTCATGAAACAACACGATCAGGAGGACGTCCTGTGGAAAGGCCATCTCCAACGCTGTTTGCATCAAAGCTGAAAGAAATAGTGAAGCAGTTTCATCGTTTCAACATGGAATCAAATTTGAGTTTTGTATGTCTCCCTGGTCCCTTTCCTCCACTAATGCAGGAAGGAAAGGAGGTGTGAATATATATAGGATTTGTTCAGTTTTTAATTTAATTTAATTAATGCCTTGTCCTGAACCTGCACGTAAAATCCAGAATGTTGTCAATGGGTTTCACTGTTGTCCAGTTAAAGTTTTTAAGGTGTGACCATACAGAACTCTTGTTTATTGGTCAGCTCTGCTTCAGTAACCTGGTATTTCAGATTTTGATGTGTTGTTTTTCTCTGATTTGTCTGTGTGGGAGCAAGGCTGAAACCTGACCTTTGACTTGGTGAAATGTAACTGAACACCTTCCACAGTCTTCCTCTTCCACCAGGACCATGTAATCTCTGCTTCTAGCTTGTTTGTGTTGGTTTGGTTAGGTTATAGGCTTGGATTGATGTAACCAGAGGGAGCTCTCTTTCAGAATCTTTTTAAAATTTAATATGAATTTGTTGTGATTTGCATATGAATTGCTCAGGTCCCTTAAACCAGTCTCAGCACCTGAATTTTATTGAATTAATGTAAAACACTTACATAAAATATTTATTATACACAGCTTTCATGTTTGGTGTTTGCGTTAATAGCAATCCTAACAATGGTTATTTGTTCACTTGTGTGCAAGGGCACTGTATTGTTTCCCTAGAAGTTCACAACCTGTGCTATCCAGTATTATAAAGAATTGCCCACTGTTTGAAGGGACCCCAATTCTGTTTCACAACTTGAGGGGATGTTTTATTCTATTTATAGATCAACTTATTGTTTGTACTCCTGTATTAGGAGAAAATATGTTAGCTTATGTACAGAATAAAATATTTAATTTTTTGTACAGAGGCTGAGTATTTGATCTACATCATTAACCAATTGGCATTTACAGTGCCTATGCTCTTTGAAAATTGTAGATGTGCGTAACTTAGTTTTGCCTCCTTGTTCCTGCCAATCTCCATGAATCTGAAAATTAGTGCTTCCAAGAATACATGCAGTTGCCTTCTGACAGCTAGCTCCATTGGAACCTGTTCCCATCACACACTCAAGATGTTCTAGATGTTAACCCTTTGGAAAAAATTAGAATCAAAGAATTTTTAAGTACAGTAGGAGACCATTCAACCCATCCTGTCCATACCAGCTCCTGAAAGAATTGCTCAGATAGGGCTGGAGAATGGGACTATCTCCACAGCCCTCTAAATTCATCACAAGACCTCCTGCGGAATCTTTCTCTCAAAATCTCCCAGCCAGCACATTTCAAGTCTTAACAACTGAGTAAAGACGTTTCTTTCTTCTCTCTCCTAGCTCTATTACTGACTGTCTTGAAATTGTTATCCCTTTTATTTGGCCATCTAACTCTTTTGAATCTGTCCTGTGATCACCATTTTGGGAATCATTTTCCCCTATTTGCTCTTAAAACTCTTCTCAATGTTGAACTTTCATGAGGTCCCCAGTTCACCTTCTCTGAAGAGAGGACCCTCTGCTCCTGCAGTCTCTCTCCACATTCCTGAGCTCCCTCATCCTTGGTAAGATCTTGTTCATTCTCCTCTTCCTTCTATAGCGCCTTGACATCCTTCTGAAACTCAGGGGCTGAGGTTTGTGTGTAATTCTTCAACTGAGGCTGCAGTGATTTGTAAGATTTAGCCAGACAACTTTTTATTTCTGAATTCATTGCTAAGGATTGTTACGAAGGGGAGGTTAAAAGTCGAATCCCTCTGGTAATCGAGCTGAAACATCAGCTCCAATCTCCTGTTATGGTAGGAGTACAATTTCCCTTCTAATAACTAAACCTGAAACACAAGTTTGCTTTGCCCCTTGTAATCTGCTGAGTTAAATGAAAGGAATCCATGATACTAATGTTATAAGTAACAATTTCTTTATTTAACCCAAATAGTGAACAAATTAACAGAATTACTAACAAACCAAACAATTTCTGACACCACCCCCACCTCCCCAAACTACTAACTATTCGCTAACACAACTAAATTGTACTGGTATGTTCCAATAAACACAGGTCCCACTTATATAAATCTAAGTAATAAGAAAACAACAATTTAAAACTTAGTCTCCCAAAGTTCACAGAATGTGCCTTCTGGAATGCTTTGCCTTTTCCTCTCTCTCCAGCCTTTCTTCTGCTGATCCTACTGTCAGGGTGTTTTCTGAGGTCTTTTGTAAGGAACTCTTAGCTAGAAGTGCTGTGGTACCTTTTGTGGTGCTTTTTTTTTAAGAGAGCTTAGTGATGTGCCAGGTATTTATTCTTCAGATGGCAGTTGGCTCTTTGCCAATTTTTCCAAATGCTGTTGTTTTCACACCCTTGTTGACCTATCCATTTAAATCTGGTGACCAGTCCTAGTGTAAGTTCAATTAGCTTTCAGTTTCCAAGTGCATGGTTGAAATGAATTGGCTGATTCAAGCTAGTTACCAAAACATCAAATTAAGCCTAAGGTTTTTAATCATCCAGCCAATTAATACATGTTTCAATTTTTAGAACTGTCATCTGCAGCTGCTTACAGACCCATTTTCTGTGTAAATCTCTAAGGTTAAAGCACTTTGTCTTAAAAGGGACCACACACAATATCTTTTTTACAAACAAATCCTAGCTTCCTGCCTTCGAATTTATAATTACTCTACACAATTTCCAAACACCCCCTTTAAGAAAAAAGTGAACCATTATTATTATTATTAGGGGCAGCACGGTGGCTCAGTGGTTAGCACTGCTGCCTCACAGCGCCAGGGACCCGGGTTCGATTGCACCCTCGGGCGACCCTCTATGAGGAGTTTGCATATTCTCCCTGTGCCTGTGTGGGTTTCCTCCGGTTTCCTCCCACAGTCCGAAGATGTGCAGGCTAGGTGGGTTGGCCATGCTAAATTGCCCATAACATTCAGGGATGTGTAGATTAGGTGGGTTATAGCGGGGTGGGATGCTTTGAGGTTTGGTGTGGACTGGTTGGGCCGAAGGGCCTGTTTTGTTTTTTTTGATCTTAATTCTATTGTCATGTGATACAATGGTCAGTAATCTAAAGTTAAACATTTCATATTAATTCTGCAAATATATATAACAGAATCTGGTCCAATCTTATCCACACATTGGTTTAAAACCTGCAATAATGCATCTGCATTAACATTTTTACAACTCACAACATTTACAATCTAAATTAAAAACCTGTAACAAGACTCCAATGAAGTAGTCTCATATTTTGTCTTTAAATCTTTCCAAAAACTTGAGAAGGTTGAAGTCTGTATACACAACCATCTACGAAACATTGTTTGTAACATAAACATTAAAATGTTAAGGCTAGTACCAAACTCAATTACACTTTTGATGGTGGAGTATTTGGTTGATTTTGAGTTTCTTTGGAAAAATAAACAATTGGCCTTTCAATTCTGCAGCTCCACCCCTCCATCACTGGCATCAAGGTTTCAAGAAATTTGTGGCTACAACTGGTGCGGTGGTTAACACTGCTTTTAAAATCCCGAATACCACCTAGCATTGTTCTGTTCACTGAAATTTCATTGTGCTTTAGCAAATCCATCAGTAGTGCCACCACACTTCGCTACAAACATCCTGTAGCATCTGCTCAGTCCCAAAAAGTGAATCACCTCTTTCCTGGAGGATGGTCTTGGAAATTCCTCGGTGGCCTTCATCTTCACATTCCTTGGGGTCATCCTTCCATGTCTGACATTGTATCTCAACAATGTTACTTCTGCCTTCGTGAATTCAATATTTTAAATTTACAAGTGTTACCTCCCGTAGTCTGAGTGCTGCCAAATGCACCATGTGATCTTTCCATGAATGGCTAAAGATAATGACACTCTGTACAGACAGCCCAATTAGTCAATCCTGTGACAACTGTTCATAAGTTTTTGATGTGGCTGATGTGTTCTTCATTCCAAAGGGCATTACAATAAATTGATTATAGCCCCTTTGGGGTTACAAACGCAGAAACTTATTTTGCTGTCTCTGATGAAGGTACTTGCCAGTAAGTCCAACTTTGTGATGGAAGCGGCTTGTCCAACTTTACCCACACAGTCTTGCAGCCTTGGAACTAGGTAGGAGTTTGTTTTGGTTACAGCGTTGACCCCTATCGGGCTTTGGAACCAAGACGACTGGCGAACTCCACTTGATTATGTCTTCTTGGAGCATCACTTCCACTTCCTTCTTGTAGCTGTGAGGCTTTGAGAGGATTAAGCCTGTAGTTTTGTTTTATTGGAACAGCATTCCCTACTTCAACCTCCCCATTTCTACTCCCATGTATGTCCTCCCATGTATGTCCTCCCATCGCTGCAACAAGTCTTTCAATTCAGTTCTCTGTTCCTGAGACATCACACTATCCTAACCCAGTCTCCAAGGACTTCCTCATTATTTAACTTATTTTGAGGCACATCAAAACCCTTGGTCTGACTGAATCTCCCTGGATAGTCTATGATGGGTAAAGAAAGCAAACAATTCCTCCACAACTTTTTTCATTTTTTTTGCCTCAACATTCCCTAATGGAATTGTCTTCGGAAACCTGGTAGACACATTCATGATGGTTGGCAAATATTGGTTCCCACTTTTGGTTTTAGGGAGGGGACCTACACAATCAATTATAACCCGCATAAAAGGTTCTTCAAGTGTGGGAATTGGCATTAAAGGCACTGGATTCATAACTGCCTGTGGTTTTCCTACCATCTGACAGGTACGGCAAAATTCAACCACATCTTTATGTAACCTAGGCCAATAGAAATGTTTCTATCTTAGCCTGAGTCTTCCTCACTCCGAGATGACCTTCTACAGGTAATTAGTGTGCTACCCACAATACTTACTGTCTGTACGCTACTGGCAACACAATCTGGTGAAATTCTGCCCATTTCTCCTCTGCACTAACCTGCTGAGGTCTCTCTTTTCGCCTTAGGATTCTATCCTTGCAATAATAACTCTCTGGAATACGTTCTGATTCCTTTTCTGAGTAGGCTTTATGATATAAATCTTTTATTCTCAGATTTTTGTTGTGACTGCGTTAATCTTTCAGAACTAAACACCTCTGCCTGATCCTCTACCTGTTCAGGCTTTTCCTTAACTGTTTCATCAAACAAGATGTCAGCTAATTGGACGTCAACTCCTTCATCTCTCTCTCTGTCTATCTCTCTTTGGTTTTTTAATTCTTGAGTTAAATTATGACTGTGGGATCTTGTTACCATACAATCAAGAAAAAACCCATGGTATTTTTCTTTGACCTCCTCAGTTCCCTGGTTTTTCTTTGGCTTCTCTGTTAGTTCATTTCCAAGAGCAAACTGTATTCCTGGAATAGATACTCTTTTAATCACTGCCACTGTCACTTCCCCAGTCTTAATTGGACTTTCCAACCTGATCTTACACAGGGGAACGCTAAACCTCTCTCTCTCTCTCTCACTTTATCCTGTAGATCATCACTTTCTCGGGTAACATTTCAGAAGGAGCGCAAATACTTTCATCTCTTACTATTAGAGACTGACTAGCTCCCACGTATCTCCATATTTTAAATTTTTTACCTTCTGCCCCATACTTCCTGAGTAAGCCTTACCCACAGAGGTGAAGTCTTTGTAGAGACCAGGGGAGGCAATGGCCTAGTGGTATTATCGTTGGACTGTTAATCCAGAGACCCAGGTAATGTTCTGGGGACCTGGTTTGAATCCTGATATGGCAGATGGTGGAATTTGAATTCAATAAATATCTGGAATTAAGAATCTAATGAATACCATAAATCCAGTGCTGATTGTCAGGAAAAACCCACCTGGTTCACTAATGTCCTTCAGAGAAGGAAACTGCCATCCTTACCTCGTCTGGCCTACCTGTGACTCCAGACCCACAGCAATGTGGTTGACTCTTAACTGTCTTCAGTGCAATAAGTGCTGCCTAGCCAGTGATGCCCTCATCCCCGTGAACGAATAAAGGAAAATAAAACTATCTCACTATCCACCCCATGGCTAGGCTGTGCACTCTCCTGCAGCTCTTCAACTTCTTTTGGGTTTTCCTTTACTACTTCAACTAATCACACTGGTTTAGCCTCTTTTACCACATCCTTTTTCCCAGTGAGTTTCTTAAACCACCAGCACTGTGACTTTGTGTGTCCCACTCCATTACAGTGAAACCACCTGAGGCCTTTCACCTCCTTTTCCACCCTCTTGGGTTCCTTTTTTCACCAGTGGTAAACCGTTCCGAGTGTGATCTACTTTTTGTTCTTCATTGAAGGATCTCCCTTTTTGCCAATTTCTATCATCATGGAATGAAATTGCTGTTGGGAGCTAAATTTCGATTTACGCACTAATGCATATTCATCCACTATCTCAGTGGCTCTTCTTGCTGTTTGAACTTTCTGTTCCTCAACATGAGTTCTTATCATTTCTGGAAGTGAGTTTTTGAACTCCTCCAGCAGAATAATCTCTCTATTTTTAATGCTGTCACCTATCTATCGAAGTTGCTGTATTTAATTCTTTCAAACTCAACATA